ACCAAAAAAATATAGCAGGACTGGAGGGCGTTTTGTTATTTTGAAGATGTTCAGCCTTAGATACTGACGTACATATTTCCACTGTAAAATAAAGGACCTAGAGATTTTTTTCAGAAAAGTTAAAAAGTCCATCCCATTAGTATTTCTAAAGTTGGGGGTTACATTATTTGGGTTGTTCGCCGAAGATTCTGACATAAATTTATACTTACAATAAAGAAATATATCCAGAATTTTACTTCAGAAAAGCTAAAAAGAGTCATCCCATTTTCATTTCTACAGTTGAAAAATTAAAAATGTGCCAAAAAAAGTATCAGGATGGGAGGGCGTTATAAGTCGGAAAACTACAATTTTATTGTGTGTTTTCATTGTTTGGGTTATCCGGCTGTAGATTCTGACATAAATACATACTCTGAAGAAGTACATCCAAAATTGTATTTCAGAAAACTTAAAAAAAGTCATCCCATTTGTATTTCTAGGTATATCCAGAAATATACTTCAGAAAAGCTCATCCCATTTGTATTTCTAAAGATGGACAATTAAAAATGTGCCAAAAAAATCTAGCGGAACGAGGGCATTTTATTATTTCGAAGAAGTACAGCCTTAGATACTGACGTAAGTATGTCTACATCTATAGATTTTTTCAAAAAAGTTAAAAAAAAGTCCACCCCATTTGGATTTCTAATGTTGGAAAACTATAATTGTATTGGGTGTTTCATTATTTGGAAATTATTCGGCCGTAGAATGTGACATAAATACGTACTTGCACTGAAAACATATACCCAGAATTTTACGTCAGAAAAACTAAAAAGGTCATCATAAAGTTAGATACTTTTTTTCCTTTGAAGAAGAAATTAACACAGTTTTAATTTAAAAAAGTAACAAAACTCTAGTACATCTTTATTTCTACAGTTGGAAAAATAAAAGTGTCAAAAAAGTAAAACAGGTTTGGAGGACGTTCTATTATTTGGAAATTGCTTGGTCATAGATACTGACATACATATTTCTACAGAAAAAAATGTAAGCAGAGTTTTTGCAGCACAGTTATAAAACTTCATCTTTTTAAAATTGGAAAACTGAAAAAGTATTTAGAAAATATAGCAGGATTGAAGAGTGATCCATTCTTCGGAAGGGATTTGGCTTTAGATTTTGATATACACACAGAAGAAACCGGTCTGAAATTTTAGTTTAAAAAATCCTTCTTAAACAAAAATTTCATTATAATTAATTTAATAATACATCAAAACAATATAAAATAATTGTGTGGTGCCCGTAAAATTAAATTTAAAAAATAATAAAGCTATAGAATAAAATAAAATATTGTTATAATCGTCCTTACAGAATTCAGAATTTAATCTATCATTTACTAATCAATAAAAAAATAAAACCTTAATGAAAATTAAAAAAAGGAAGGCAACTTATTTTTATTTTTTAAAACTTTTTATTTATAATTTTTTGGAATTTTTTTTCCTGCTGTATTAATATTGTTTCTAAATTTATCATTATGTTTTCAAATTTGTGACAACATTAAACAGAAATTTTACACATATAAACAATTGACACTCTGTACCAGAGGGTCTCAGCAATACGGTGGTGGTCGTCAGGCTCTGAACATTTTTTTGTAGTAGAAATGACTTTGTATGATTTTAGCCCACACAGAGTTTACCCTTTTGAGGGCTGGACCAAAACGAAAACTTATAATTAGTACTACTTTGTTCTAGAGGGTAAAAAAATGTGGATGAGTCAGCTAAGCTAGTCAGCTGGTCGTTCCAGTCTCAGGACTTAGCCACTACGATAAAGTTAAGAAAAGTACGATACAAATACTAAAAATGCTATCAAAAACACGATTAAAAGGAAATGACCAGAATAGCGGAAAAGCTCTCATATTTGAAAAGCTTAGGTTGATAGGTTGCCTTCAGAGGTTCTGAATTGAAGAATCACCCTACAAAGAATAGGTCAGTGGAAGTTGACACGTGAACACTTTCTTTTGGGTCAAAGCCAGCATATGTACAAAAGGTTACTCGATGTTCCACATATTGAAAGGTCCACTTAGACAGCGAGTAGGAATGCCATCATCTAACATAAGAACAGTGTTTGAGCATAAAAGCATGTATTTTCCCGGTTCAAATTTTTGGACGAAACAGGGATGATTTTTGGTATATAGTCGTACTTTCTATACAAACCTCGTTTTCCTCGGTTTCTTTTTTTTTAATATATATATTGAGAGTGGATGTATTTATTAGTATGAATGTAAGCGTGAAAGCGCCAATGACAGAATATTGTGTATCCCAACAAAACTCAATTAGATTATACATAGTATGCTTGAGTGATAGAAGAAAATGGAATACGCAGCCGTCCTAATTGAGTGAATGGTATAAATTGAAGAACGAGTAATTGTGTGAGTGCACCTAGATTTAAAAACTGCGTGCATTAAGTTCGATGGCAGGATGGATAAGGCCCAAGTCTGACCCGCACTGGTAAAATCGAAAGAAGCTCTCTCAGCTTGCCATGAGAAGTCGTAAGTTGGATCATATGAGTGCAAAGTTGAGATTAAATAAAAAATATAAACAATTTAGCTATGCAATTTTCTTCACTAGCCTCACCACAATGTTTTATTATATATGTACAACCGAGTGACAAAATTATAGACATATTAAAAAATCACAATTTCAACAGTGAAAAATTATTTATTTTGCCATTAGATTATTGTTCATGATATTAAAAGAAAATTAACTCTGGAAATGGCTTGATCTGATAATCTTATACAAATGTACATCTCAATAAACAGTATTGTTTTGATTTAGCGTCGACAGAATTATAGAAACATCTTTTGTTTACGTTTATTTTATAACTTCAAAGGTTTATTCTGTATTCACTGTACTGTGCCTTAGTAAAGTGATTACTGTGAGTTCATTTGAAACAATTCAAAATTATTTTAAAATGCCCAAAGGAAGAAGATTTTCTGATGAGGAGCGCCGGTTGCAATGAAGATGGAAAGAGCTGCCGAGAATCGCCAGACGCATAAAACAAAGTTTTTCATCGGTATCGAAGATAATACGACTAGGTGAAAACTACGGAAGAGGGCATAGCTCTGGAAGACCTCCTTCCTTGACCAGAAGAGACAAATCGCACATCCTGCGCGTTGCTTCAAATAGCTTTTCGACTGCAAAAGCCATCGCAGAGAAGGCAGGTGTTGATGTTTCTGTTCGAACTGTTCAGAGATTCCTTTAAAAAACTGAAAACACATTCCGAAGAAAACTGAAACGCAAACCAGCTCTGAAACCCCACCACAAACTAGCCTGTGTCAAATTTGCTGAAAACCACATTTTGAAAAATGAAGATTATTGGCGAAAAGTTATTTTTTCTGATGAAAAAAAATTCAATTTGGACTGCCCGGACGGATACGCATACTACTTTCATGATCTAACTAAAGAAGAAAAATTTTTGTCACGGCGCCAAATGGTGGATCTTTGATGATTTGGAGGTGTATTGGGTGTAATAAAAAAGGGAATCTTTGGTTTCTTCCAAAAAAAGTCAATTTTGAATATTACAAGAAATTACTGGACAAAGAAAAAACTAGTTTCAGCGATTTATGCAAAGGGACTCCAATATTCCAGCAGGACAACGCACCCATACACAATCCAAAAATGGTTTTCACAGAACAGCATTGAAAAACTTGAATGGCTTGCACTCTCACTGGACTTGAACATTATAGAAAATGTATGAGGAAAATTATCGAGGATGGTATATCAAGACTGTAAGCAGTACTACTCTGTCAGCAAACTTAAAACAGTGTCACCATACATTTGGACACATGTATACATACCATACCACTGGAATAATTTGCCTCAAGATTTTATTCAAAATGTGTACAAAACCATTCCAGAAAGATTACTGGAAATAATAAAACTGAGTGGTAATGCCACAAAATATTATAACCTGATTTTATCCCATGTGTTTATAATTTTGTCGCAGACAAAATCGTTTAATTTTAGTATTTTAATAATTTTTTCTCTTATTTACTGAAAAATTAAAGTTTAATGAAGAAAAATATTTATTTCATGTTTTGAATAAATATTTGTAGTACAAAGCCATTACATTAAAAAAATCATAACAATTAGGGGTGTGTCTATAATTTTGTCACTCGGTTGTATTTCCATATTTATAGAAATAAATTGGGTAGATCAATTAAATTTGTAAACATATTTTCTTACAGTAAATATGAATGCATTTATTTCAATAATATAACAATATCAAGCAAATTAATATAGTTACTACAGTAATATAAAAATATAATCATGTTATAAATATAAATGATATATCTACCTACATCATCAAATATCATATAATATGGATGAATAAATAAATTAATATAGTTTTATTTAAAAAATTCTCAATGCACATAGACAGGTATAGGTTTATACTTAAAGGTTTATACTATTTATCTAAGTTCATAGATAAATATGAAAATAGTGTAAATATAAATCATATATCTTACATCATCATCAAACAGTAGAACCTATATATTCAGCATAAATTGGTTCCGGTGCAATTATTTAATTAAAACAAATTTATTGGTAAACCCTGAAAGAAATTAATTTCAATTTTTCCAATGTGTTAACAATTGAATTTTGTCAAACAAAAAAACATTCTGTGTTAAAATAAATAAATGAAATAACAAAACTTACTAATCCAGCGGCCCTCCATTTGAACCCCATATATCTACAATTTAGCTTTTTTTTCAAAAACCCTGACAACCCCAGTCATTTTGTGACATGTGTGTAGGCGAACCCTCGTAAAACATTTTAAAAAATTAATAATAATATAAAAAATAACAATTTTATGTTTTAAAATTTTATGTTGAGAAATGAAAATGTATTAGATATTATTTGATGGATTTCATTTATTAACACATTAACAATGCAAAATTGGAATTAAATTCATTTCAATGAAAAATTTGTTTTAACTAGAAAATAAGAAAATTGCACCGGAGACCATTAATCATGTGATGCATTGATTTACTTTGGTGCATTGAAATGTATATCCATCTTTTAATATAAAATAATTGTCATAAATTGAACGATCGATAGAATTTAATTAAAACAACATGGCATTCTGCTAGATTTGGTTAAGTTACAATTATATATATTTACAGCATTCATTATATAATAAAATATATATTATTTGGTTGATGAAATGAAAGAATTTACGTGTGATTTCCTTTGGAAAGTCTTGTCAAATTCTTCGCGGCATTGTTTTTTAATTGCTTGAATTGTGTCATCACTGGGTTTTTGTGTCCCTCCAAAATCACAGAAGATGAAGCATACCTTGCTTACAAAATTTGAATCCCTAAAGCAAATGTATTTGTAAATATTTATTTATTATTTTTATTGACATGCTTCTCTGATTTAAATAACTGCAGCATGAAAAAGCACTTTTTTTAATAAAAATAAATAAATTAACATGAACAGTTAATTTTTATTCCAAAGAAAAAGGCAGTAAATTAAGTATTAATTGTTTAGTACTTTATTTAATTATATGTTGGTTTCTATTTTTAAACCAAATTTTTAATGTTATTATATTTTTGTATTAGTTACAATTTATAAATGAATTATGATAATGAAAATCAGTAGTAACTGCTGAATGTGGTGCTACAGCATTATGTTTGCAGCCTAAAGCTTTAAGCTAGATTTCAAAAATCTTCTCAGCTTAACAAATATTTTTCCTATTTTTTTATATTATTTTCTTATTAAATGCTCGTAACATTGATGTATCTTCACTATTCTCTAGTTTATATGGTTGGTGCATAATTTTTTGATTGGGATACATTTTAATTGTGGTTTTATTAAAATAATTATGGTTGAAAAAATAAAAAAATAAAGGATACTTTTCATAGTACACACATTATAGACATTAAGTAAAATATTTTTACTCTTTAGTTGGTTTTAATTTTTCCACCAACCATATTAAAAACATCATTTCACTAATATCACTGGTATTTATGATATTCAAGAATATCATTGAACTTTTCCTTGCACTCTTTTTCTATTAACTTAACTGTTTCTAAACTGGGCTTGTGCGTTCCCGCAAAGTCACAGAAGATGTGGCATATCATGTTTCCAAAAGTCGATTTGCTGAGGCAAAGAGAAATTTTTAGTCAAGAAAATGTAGATTAATATACAAGCAAGCATACATCTGGGAATGCTTAACATTTATTGTCTGATTTTGTAATTTTATGAATTTTGCAATACAATATAATAATAAAATGTACATATACTAACTTAGAATAAAATCTTGCATCGAGATAATTGTCTTGGTGAGTAATTTCATTATGCTTGTTGTAAAAATGAATGTTCTTAAGAGGATTATCCGACGTTCCACCCATATTGATCACAACAATTTTACAATGGAATTCATATTGGCCGTTATACTTGTTGTTCAATTCCTTCAATAAAGAATTTTCTACAATAGTCTTAAGTTTATTATAATTCATATCAGTAAAATTCATTTCCTGAAAAAGATTATTAAATATTAATGTAACATCTTGAGTAGATAAAATACATTATTTTTAATTAAAAAATTATTAAACATGAAAATAAAACTTAAGTTCACCACACCTTAGTTATGTTTTCCTTCAGTACTAGCACATAAATATTCCTGTGTAATATTCTTTTCAAAATGTGTCTAGCTTCATGTAAGGAGTCACTCAATGAGTTATAAATATTCATAAAAATATCATCAGTCAACTTTATATACTCGTTCAGATGGTTGTGACATTCGTCAATTTTTCTGAAATGTAATAACATTCAGTGGATGCATTCTGAACAGAGCTGAGCTTACAAACCTTCTTTTGACTTGGCCATTTTCTTTATAATCGATTCCAAAATCATTGTCAGCAGCTTGTTTTAAAGCGCCTGAAAACCTGAAATAACTCGTTACAATGTAAAAAATACTTATGGTGCAGTCGGCCTTACATAAGCTCGATAGCCAAAGTGACTGGATGTTGGTAGCACCTGTGGTGCATTTCAGCTCTGTTCAAAAACATGCCTAATAGATTGTAAGTTGTCTTCTCCCTATAAGCTATGGTAGTCGTTCCATCTGGCAATTTGATTATTTTTGCAGTGCTCAATAGGTAATCAATTGCCACAAAACAATTCATGCCAAACTGGTGTGAGTCCCTTTGTAAATATTCCAATTTATCAACATCAACTCCGCTAATTTTATTTGACACTATCTAAAATAGCAACATGTTTACTGTTAATATTGGGTGAATGCAATCGTTTCTGATCACTCTGTCCTGCCTATTCTCACAGGTTTGGATGCAGGCCTCGAGAATCACCAACCCAGGTTGTTGGGAATCCGGGGGCAGACCTCTGTCTTATCCGTATAACTGAACTTTGATTAATTAAGTACATTCATTATAAACAACCTAGAAGGGGCAATTTTATGTAAGTGCCATATCTGTCAGTATTTACATACCCAAGGAAATCATAGTTAAACGTTAGACATTAACTGTGGAAGTTTGTAAAAATTTATCTTTTGAGTTATTTTGTATTTTGTAAAGGAAAAGTAAAAACATAAGGAAAATATTTATTTATTTCATTTGCAAATATTAAATGGAAAAGTTTAAATGAAAATGAAAAAAGTGTAATATTAAATGGTAAATTTTCAATTGAAATGGAAAAAGTAAAAAATTCAATCGAAAATTCAAATGGAAGACGAATATTACAATAAATAGAAAATTCCAAATTGAAATAGAAAACGGCTTATATTAAACGGAAAATTCGAAATTAAAATGGAAATGAAAAAAGCAGATATTAAAAAAAAAGAAGAAAATAATCGAATATTAAAAGAAAAATCGCATTAAAATGGAAAATTCGAAAATGAAATGAAAAAGGTGGAATATTAAATGAAAAAACAAATAGAAAAAGTCGAATATTAAATTATATTAAATGGAACCAGGACCTTACATAAAAAGAATAATTCATTGAAAGAAGTATCTTGGTCAATTGACTACTAAAACATAACTGGATTAAATGGAAAATTTGACATAAAAATTGGAAAAAATCAAATATTAAATGAAAAATTCCAATTATAAATGGAAAAAGCCGAATATTACATGAAAAAATCGAAATTAAAATGGAAATGAAAAAGATCGAATATTAAATGAAAAAAGTCGAATATTAAATGAAAAAATCGATTTAAAATGGAAAATTCGAAATTGAAATCAAAAAGGTGGAATATTAAATGAAAAAAAAGAAAATAAATATTAAATGAAAAATCGAATTAAAACAGAAAATTCGAAATTGACATGAAAAAGGTCGAATATTAAATGAAAAATCGATTTAAAATGGAAAAGTCGAAATTGAAATGAAAAAGGTCGAATATTAAATGAAAAAAGAGAATAGTCAAATATTAAATGAAAAAATCGATTTACCTATAGAATAGAAAAGTCGAAATTGAAATAAAAAAGGTCGAATATTAAATGAAAAAAAGAGAAAATAGTCAAATATTAAATGAAAAAATCGATTTAAAACGGAAAATACGAAATCGTAATGAAAAAGTTTGAATATTAAATGAAAAAAAGAGAATAGTCAAATATTAAATGAAAAAATCGATTTAAAATGGAAAAGTCGAAATTGAAATAAAAAAGGTCGACTATTAAATGAAAAAAAAAGAAAATAGTCAAATATTAAATGAAAAAATCGATTTAAAATGGAAAATACGAAATCGTAATGAAAAAGTTGGAATATTAAATGAAAAAAGAGAATAGTCAAATATTAAATGAAAAAATCGATTTAAAATGGAAAAGTCGAAATTGAAATAAAAAAGGTCGACTATTAAATGAAAAAATCTATTTAAAATGGAAAATTCGAAATTGAATTCACTAATTTCGTGGTCCGCTTGACCAATTAATCGAAATTGAAATGAAAAAGATCGAATATTAAATGAAAAAACAAGAAAATAGTCAAATATTAAATGAAAAATCGAATTAAAATGGAAAATTCGAAATTTAAATGAAAAAGGTCGAACATTAAAAGAAAAAAACAAATAGAAAAAGCCGTATATTAAATGAAAAATTCGAAATAAAAATGGAAAAAGTCAAATATTAAATGAAAAATTCTAATTTTAAATGGAAAAAGCCAAATATTACTCGAAAAAGCCGAAATTAAAATGAACAAAAAAATCGAATATTCGAAATTAAAATGGAAAAAGTTGAAAATAAATAAAAGAAAAATAATGGAAAACATTTAAATTCAAAATTTAAATTTAAATTTTTAAATGTATTTGGAATAGGTTAAGGTATTGCTATAAGACTGGTTGTTCAGTTCACGTAAAAAGCAAAGTAAAACAAATTAGATGAAATTATGCAGATTAAATTTAAATAAATGATATGAGTAAAAACACTTTCACAAACCTCATATAAATAATTTTTGGTCTTGTCTTCAGGAAGAACACCTCTAATCATCCTTTTGGCAATTTCCAGCTCCTCCCTTCCAAGATTGTGCTTTTTGAAAACATTTCTTACTTTCTCGTGATTTTCGTAAATCCTGTCTAACAATTTCTCAGACATTTCTTCATGCTGTCAAAAAATAAAAAGTAAATAACACATTTGCCTTGGTAAAAATTACATTAACACAAATTATCCAGCGTACAATGAATGTTTTATCAAATTTCTCTTTCAAAAAGTGCTCCCAGAAATGGGAAAACGGGCCGTGGCCCAAGTCGTGGCAGAGGGCGGCGATTTGGACGCAGAGTTTATCCTCCTTGGTGATCACGACGACGTCGTCATCGAGGTTTTTTTCCAGGCAGTCCAGGATCAATTTAGCCATGTGGCAGACTCTGTCAGTAAGAGGTATGTTGAGTCAAAGCATAAACAACACTTACATTAATTTACCCTAGGCTGTGCTCGAATCTCGTGTGATTTGCAGTCGGGAAAACGAACTTGCCAAATCCGCATTGCGCGATGAATCTCAGCCTCTGGAACTCTTCAGTGTCCACAATTGCCTTGCACACTTCGTGGATCTCGACCTGACCGATGACAGCGTCTCGGATTCCCGTGTACTGGGCACCGGCCATTCTACAGCAAGCAATATCAGATCTAGATTTACAAAAGATAAAACCTATCTTTTACAAAATTCTTATTGAAAATGGAGCTTTGTACAAAAACATTCAAGATATTTTATTCTTCATGTTTAACTACTACAAACGAAGCAGTGAAACAGCTGAAAAAAATGTACATAATGCAAGATCATGATGACCGACGCAGCAAACAACCAAACAAAAAGTATAGACACTAGGAAAGACCGTAATATTCTTGAATAAATAATATAAAAAAATATAAGCGTCCTATAATGAAAGCCTTCTGACATTTTTTCTTAGGGATAATGATAAATTATTGCTAAGTCAAACTTTATTGTCTCTTAATTGTTTATTGTCTGAGTCAATGATAGAAGTATTTATTGGAAATTGATCAATTGAACATCAAAAATATTTTCTTAACTGCCATCTTTATTTGCAAAAGGCTTTGTATGTTTAATAAGTTCTTCCTTTAGGCAAAATGGACCTAACGGCTAAATCAACAATTACCTAACAGCTAATTTTTAAAAATCCAATTTTCTCTGTCATATTTGTATTGTTGTTTATATATTGCAGTTTCGCAGAAAATAGTTACCCGTACTCTACTGTGGTCGACATTATCACATCTGTCTTCTTACGTTATCTAATTTTAGGGTCTGTTGAAGATACTTCAGGCTATCAGTATAAAATAAATATGTACAGAAGAAACTATTCGTTTGTTCTATAACAGAAGCAACTATTTAGCTAGTAGTAATAAAACGCCAAGAAAACCCATAGTGAGTCATGAGTTGTTCAATTGTTGGCGAAACATTTGCAGCAGGGCCACCGTTCAGCACGAATCTTAAATCAAATTGGAAAAAAATGAAAAAAAGGCAGTAGTCTTACTGAACTAGCATGGATTCAGGCCACATCTTATTTTAGACTAAGCCTGAAAATGAATGCGGTATTTATATTACGGCGACATCTGCTGATTCAAGACGCGTGGTTAAAATCTTGACTAGCTTGATTTCGCTGACGCTCTCTCTTGATATAATGCCCGGATAGTGCTTTTTCTTCTTCTTTTTTTAATTATAAAAGGCGATCAATCGCTTTGGGTCATTTTCCGCCTTAAAAAACTTCCAAGCTGGGTGGTGAGTGGGCCACAGCTCAGGAATAGGATAGCGGAAACCAAGGCCTGTGTTATGTATCGGTTCAATCATGGACAATGTTCTGTCACTAACCGGCTACTGGCTAGTCCTTTATTAATACCGAGGTAAAGTCGAACATAGTAAATCGACTTCACATACACGCTTATTCAATCAATCTTTCTGTTTTTTTAAAAAGACTCGAAAAAATATGTATATAGGTCTATCGTACCACAACAGAAAAACATCGATGATTTATTAATACCAAATAGCAACAGAAAAACAAGTATTAAAACATCGTTGATTCGATGCTATCGACATCAAAAGCAAAGCATCTATTTTTCAATAATGTAGAACATCGAAAGCAAAACATCGATAAGTCGATATTATCGACCTAGTACATTTATCTATCTATATTTATTTATTTATATTCTATATCTATTATGATTATTTATTATCTTTATTATTATCATATCTAATTATTATTATCTTATTATCTTTATTCTATCTGATCTAGTATATATAGAGAAGGGCAAATAGTGTAGCTCCTATTTTGTCGAATAGATTTGCTGATTTGAGAAAATTAAACAAATTACGTATACTATGGTGGTTGTCGCCTAGCATTTCTTGGATGCTTATAGGCAAGAAGTGCAGAAGTCTACGGGCTGTATATAATGTGCATGACGTAAGTATATGTTTGATTGTGACGATCAGATTGCACATTCCGCAAATTGGAGGTGACTCTTGCCCCATCATATGACCCTTAGTGGCTCTACAGTGTCCAATCCTCAACCGTGCAAGAACTACTTCTTCCCTTCTACAATTTCTGAATGAAGTAGGCCATGCATCTACAGAGTCCTTTATTTTCCGTAGTTTGTTTTCAGATATATTAGTCCAGACCTGTTTCGATTGACCCTTAACTTTTGACTTGTAAACTACAGTCATATCACCCTTTGGAACGTCCCTGTGATTTGAAGGCCTGTAGTGGCTGCTTTTTTTGCAGATTCATCTGCCAAATGGTTTCTTTTAATATTTACATGTACAGGAACCCAGATGAAATAAACGCTCCTTCCCTGCTGTTGGGGGCTCCCCAGGACGTCAGTACCTCCTGCACAATAGGGGTGTTCCAAGGCATGTAAGGCCGATTCTGAATCAGAGCAAATCACGTAGCTACTATTGTTATCGGAACATATGAAATTTAGAGACTTCCGTATTGCTAGTAGCTCAGCGCTATAGTTGCTACAGAAATGATGCAGAGAGAAAAGAAATTTGCTAAGGCCACATATAGACGCAGCTTCCACGGTCCTGGAGCTCCTTGATCCGTCCGTATAGATAAATGCCGCTTGTGGAAGTGCGTTTATTTTCAAAAACTCCTGTTGGTATACATGAAAAGGTGTAATGGCTTTGCGATATTTTGCAAGTGGATACAAAATTTTCGTTTTGGGAAATGTCCAGGGAGGGATGGGAACCACTGATTCTTTTTGTACTGGAGGTATGGGTATTTGTAATTCGTGCAAGAGTGTGTATGTAGGGAGCGTGAAGGTTTTTCGTACAGAATCACGTGATAAGCAGTCAGATATCAGACTAGTCCCTGGAAATAGACGATTTAGTGGGTGTGACTTAGAGGAAGGGATTTTAGCAAAAAACTTCAAATCAAGAAAGTCACGTCTGAAACTTAAAGGCATTTCTCCAGCATCTGCAAGAAGGCTGTATGAGGGACACCTACGGAAAGCAGCCTAAGTCCCGATTCTGTATTGTGTCGAACAGACCGATTGTATTTTTAGTAGCGGAATTGTATACATTACAGCCATAGTCCAGACGTGTTCTTATTCGGACGGAAGACGGACATAGATGAGTTTCTACACCAGCTACTTAAGTGATCTTAAGAGTTGACACCCAGCTTGGAAGTTTTTTAATGCGGAAAATGACACCCCCCCCCCAAAAAAAAAAAAAAATAATACCAGCACCGTACAGTCAGACCAGCACCATCGCACCGAACACCTATGAACAATGACTTCATGGAAACCCGTACAAGCCGGTCAGTCAACATTACGGTGTGATTTCGCGATGTCATTGAGGACGCTGGTAGTGTCTAATGAGAATAGAATTATTCTCTTTATGATTCTATTCTCACCGGTAGTGGCAGTAGTATGGTAGTATGGTAGTGGCAGTGGCAACCCACAAAGTTTACCGCCAGGGTAGTGAAGAAAAAGGAAGGTTTTAATGAGCCAGCTGAACAAAAACATCCAAAAGATGTCTTGCCTCAGAGACATTTGTTCATCATTATTAATGTTTTAATTGCGGTTTTTTTGTGTATACTAGTTTTTAAATAAAATATTGAAGTGTAGTTGTTTGTTCTTCTATTTAATGGTATTTACATTTTAAATAAACTTACTTGTATTTTTCTGACGTGTGTCTCCTTTAAGATGTCCTGGAAGACTGAAAAGTGTGATAAAAGTATGTCACTGAAGCTTGACAAGATTGGAAATGGAGATTGTAATTCCCTTCTAACAAATAAACTATTAATAAATGCAAATAGTGGGACAACCCAAATGAGTAACGACATTCGCAACACGTGGTTGTGACAAACTAACTCAAATTATCAATGAATAAGCTCACATTATTATAAAAATGAATTATTTAAAAACTGGTTATCTTGGTTTTTCCTTTGGGTTGTAGTTGTCTTATCCTTTATTACTAAAATACTCCAAAACAACGATAGGAGCCGTAACTTTGAGCATTTCGCAATTCCACCATGCTATATGATAAAACCTACCAGTCGTCGCCGTAGGCATATAATGAAACTGTTGCACTCTTCAAAATAACAAAAGCTCATAGGACAGCTTCGCTCACGCCTTCCAAACTAAAAATGTAAGCAGATAACTCCAAGAAGAAAAAGGACCTGCATTGATTCTGACAATTGGACTGACAACTTGATGCAAAAAAGAAGGGAAAAATGTACAGGCCAACCTATGAGTTTCTGCTGATCATGGTTTTCATTTCTACTTAACTGACATTGACCTAGCTGCAAAGCCGCAATCGGTCATGGCAGGCTTGACAAAACAACAGCAAGGGGACTGAGGTTCGTTGGCGTATAATGAAAGAACTACTCCACAGTAACAAAAGCTTATAGGACAGCCCCACACACCTTCCAAGCTAAAAATGTAAGCATATAGCTACAAGAAGAAAAAGGGCCTGCATTGATAATGACACAAATTGGACCGAAAGCTTGTTGCAAAAAAGATGGGGCAAATGTACAAATGGAGGCGACCTATTTGTTTCTGCCCATCTTGGTCTTCATTTCTACTTCACTGACATTGACCTCCAAGCTGCAAAGCCGCAATTGATAAAGGCAGACTCAACAAAACGACAGTGAGGGGACAGAGCTTTGTCAACGTATATTGAAGGAATTGCTCTCCACAGTAACAAAAGTTTATAGGACAGACCCACTCACACTTTCCAAACTAAAAATGTAACCAACAGCTACAAGAAGAAAAAGGACCAGTATCGATTCCGATACAAATTGGACTGACAGCTTGATGAAAAAGGACAGGACAAATGAACAAAGGGAGGCCAACCTACGAGTTTCTGCCCATCTTGGTCTTCATTTCTACTTCACCTGACCTCCAAAATGTAAAGTTGCAATCAGTAAAAGCAGACTTGACAAGGAGCCATGGATTTGAGGATTTTGCAATTCTAATGTAATCTACACCTGATAAAATCACTAATTCATCAGCATATAGTGAAACACAAGAAGTAGAAAGAAGGCTAACTCATGAGTTTCTGTCCATCTGTCTTTGATAATTCTTCACTGATTAACATTGTCCAAAATTGCAACCTGACAGATAAAAGAACATAACTATTGATTTACCTCAAATGCTTTGAATATAAACTGGTTTCAGAGATTTCAACACAAATTAGACCAAAGGTTGAAAGCGGTGGCAATTCTTTCACCAAGTGAATAAAGAGACTGGGAGTGTACCTTGGCAAATTAAATAGCTTTTTTGTAAATATTGTCTTCACTCCATCCACTGATGATCAAAGCACCAGATCTGAACACAAGGATTACAAAATATACCTCAGCCTTTCTTTAAAATTGTTTAGAGAAAGACAACATTGGGGTCAGTGTTGATCTTTCTGATGCAAGAGGTCTACTTCCTTTTTGAAATGGCATTATTTTATACATTGTCATGTTCACACCAAGGCCCCATATAAGAAATACTTTTATTTGCTTTTGTAATTCCTTCGGGTTATCTGACATCACTAGGTGGTCAGTATATAAAGAGGCTCTCCTTTCTCCTTAGAACAAAAGCTTATAAGACAGCCCCCACACATGCCTTCTAAACTAAAATTGAAACCCAGCAACTAAAAAAAGAAAAATTTCATCACAACTTGAACCAGCTTGTTGCAAGAAAGACTGTACATAAGTACAAAGGGATAACCTTTTAGTTTCTGCTCATCACGGAGAGTTAGCATCAGATACAAACATGATTTCTGATTCATCAAAAAAATAACAGTGGCATGAACAATTTAAAGCCTATTACACCTGCTTCATAGAGCCAACAGTTCATTGTACGTGACTGCATAGTCGACGACTATCACAGATAATTATATTTCGATGAAAGCACAAAGGGACTTTACTGCCAGATCTGGTCACTGATCATAAACATCAAATAGATAAGCACCTTTGAGACCCTCAAGTCATTTATCCAAGTAAGATTAAAATGTTTTAATTACGTTACTTTCAGTTATTAGTTCTGATATATTGGTTTATTTATTTTTAAATATGTTACTTAATAACCTAACTCTCCCAGCTTTTTTTTTTTGTCCCAACGACAGTAACCCTGACATTGGGGATTTTATTTTCCACCTCTTCCCTTATTTAAACTACAGGTGTTTACATAAATTAGTACAACATTTAGATCATAAAGATAATAAATACATAATAATAATGTTTGAATTTAAGATGGACCATAATTTACATGCATTTGATTCTATAATTGATTTTTTATTTATTTTACTTTGAAACTATAACTTTGAAAAGTCTAAAGTACTTTATAATCAACAAAATATTTATAATGAAATTTAAAAAGATTTCTCTTTTCAGCTGGCCCTGTTCTTCCTTGTTTTCGCAAAAGGGTTCCTTGTTCTCTTTCATTCATTTTTTAATCATAGATAACATGTCTCCATGTCTGTTCATCTCCCTCGCATGAACAGTCAGAATCATTGATGATCCTAAATTGTGCCAAATATGTCTGGTTTTTTTTTCCATGTCCAGTTAAAGCCATAGTCGTTTTTTAACTATGGATCATGCCAATTGTCATTCTTTCTTTTATGTCTGGATGTATGCTTTAGTTATTCTTCCATGGTTTGTTTCGGTCCAGATGCTTTGCCACTGTCCGATGCTCCTCTTCTTTAATATACCTTTTATGTGTGTAATTGGGTTTTTGTAAATGTGACAGCAATTGTTTCTTTTGTTGCCCGTTATTCCACTGTGAGCCTTCACCCATTGAAGTGTAACACTACAATTTCTCAAGTAGGCCCTCAGGATTCAAATATACGCTCTGATATCTTCAGTCATTTGGGTTATGGTATCTGTGATGTTTTATAATTTACATTGAAACACGACTGTTGGTGTCGATCCTTGCAGATTTGACATTATGGTTCAATTCTGTCAACCATAGAAGCATGTTTTTGATGGCTACAAGCTCCACCTGGTTGTTAGAACACCATGACTTCAACCTGTTCTGCAAGATTTTGACAGTATACAAATTATAGCCGCCTTTATAAATTATAGCTGTGCATCCTACTTTGTCATTTATTTGACTTCCATCCGTGTAAATATCTAACTCAGTGTCTTCCATTTCATCACCAAGATGGTTGTTAATCTCTACATGGTGAGTCCACGTCCAGCTCAAAGTAATGATTGTTGTCTGTCCTAATTTCTTGATATATTTCAGTCAGTTCCTTTAATTTTATTTCTGTTGAAGTAATTCCAGCTATAACCACTGCTGCGTGAAAAGAAATTGTGCCGCATTCTCTGATGATTTGTAGAGCAATTTGTCATGGCTTTATTCCAGATAGTAGCAGCATAACTAATATTGGCAATATCACACTCTTGTAACTCATATCTAGGGCTTATCTATGTAATCCCCAATGAACTTTGGCAGATTTTGCAAGTACATACAAAAAGTCAGGAGGCTTTTTCACTTATATTATTGATGTGGGTGTTCTATGTCCATTTATTGTCCATCCATACTGCCAACACTCTGAGTTCTTTTACCACCTTGGGTATCCGTATTAAGTAAACTTCAATGGGTTCCCTATTTCTTTTAGTTGAAACATGCTCTGAGATCTGTGAGATCCCATCATGGTGAACATAGGCTATCAATGGGTGATAATTTGTTTGTCCAATCAAACAGGAGATAATTTCTCTTTTAGAAAGGTTGCACATTCCAAAGTTATATTGAATACTTACCCAAATAAACTGTTGCTAATTGAGGACATAATGCTAAAAAAATATATATAGAACTTGTTTGTGTTGCAAAGCTAAAATGTTTTGCAATTAGGCTCTTCATTAACCCAAAATCTAAAATTAAAATGTAACAATTCTCCTCTCATATTTAAAAGCAATAAAATAATCAATAATATAATATAAATAATACATTATAATAATAAATCAATTTTTTTGCTTAACGTTTCCGCATTAGCCACCAGACTTTTAAGTTTTTAAGTTAAATGTGGAGGGTCGCCATTTAGGGGGTACCAAGAGGGCCACAAACCCGGATGCAGCCAACCAGCCTGGCCATTTTGGCGTTCTTCTTTAGGAATATTCTTTCTCTGTAATGAGGGTCTTAGTGGAACTGTGGATAAAAACCATTAACATGGAAATAATGTGGAAAGGGAGGGGCCACGGTAGCCGAGTGGTTGAGGCATCAGACTCTTGGCTAGTAGATCCCGCGGTCGTGGGTTCGATCCCCACCGTCGCCTCTGGACTTTTTCTAATGCCTAAGGGGACCGGTGGCCGCAATTGAAACAAAAATTGACACGGCACTCATCAATGGAAGGGGCGGGATCGGATCTCAGCGACCCTGAATTTGGTCCCAACCCCCTTCAAAAATGAGTTTCTTCGATGGAAGAACACCGGTACAATGGGGGCTCATGTTCACATTTGTGTTGCGAGCCCTCCCCCAAAATATGGAGCCAGGGATAAAGTATAATAAGCTGTACAGCTCAGCTGCAGTGCTCAGGAGGGAATTCCTCCAGTCCCTGGTATCCATTATAAAAAAAAAAACCCGGAGCAAACTTCGTTCTGGAGGCCCCCTTCTCAACCAAGCAAGAAAGCAGCAACCAGAAAGCCCCCCCCATTTTTTATAGTCATCACACAGACTGGAATAAATAAATAAACTAACAAACAAATAAATAAATAACAACATCAATTAGTTAATATTCAATTTTCATTTGGTTAAAGCACGCTTATATATCAATTTTTACAAGCATAAGTAGATGCCTTTATTTTTGGAGGCTAATAAAGTTTTGTAATTGATAGGCTTTTCGATATATTTCATCGCATACATTTTTACAAGTCACCATTCTCTTTGTAGCGCATACTTTTTGCAGATCGTTATTGTGTGTTCAAGATCATCTTTCACAAAACAAGTCAAAGTTAATTAAATTTTAAATCTAAAATGATTGATACTACTCTATGATCCCTTAATAAGACAGTATAACTGAAATCTTTCAAAGAAAGGTAAACAAGATAGATTCCTCCCAATGAGCAGTACTTTCTATTTCTACATAATTCACTTACCAAAATCTCGCTCAGGAATAAATCATTAGTTTTATAAAAATGTTTGATTGTAAACGCTTCAAAAACCTATGCCATGTCCTTCTACCAAGGCTCTAAAAAATTCTGATCCTCTTATAATATTGATAATAATATTGTTTTAAATGTCAATTATATTAAAGACCTATGAGTCATGCTTCAGCCCAATATGTTTTTGTCACTATATATTTCATCGTTAGTAGATAATTTTTTTCAAATTGCTAGGCTTCATATCTCGCAATACTCATAATTTCAATAATTATAGCCTTTAATGCTCTTTTGTCTGTTCTAATTTTGAATTCTCTTCTCCTGCCTGGTCTCCTTATCTTCTCTGTCATAAGCCTTCTTTAGAACAAGTTCAAAATAAATTAGTCAAATTCATCTCTTTCAAATTGAATATTCTTTATAGTTCACACAATGTTCCTTATGACCAATCTACTTTTCATATATCTTCATTAGAAACTCATCGCGTTTATTTTGATTTTGTGTTTACTTATAAATTAATAAATAATAGAATTGATGTCTTTTATTACTTTCTCAGTTAAATTTCCAATTTCTACTCCATAATCAAGACTCTTTTATATTCATCATTTCTTCCTCAAATATTTGACAAAATTATAATGAAACAAATTAGTTAAAATAAACAAGGAGGGAGAGGGAGGGGGCGAAAGATTGAGGGGGAGAGGGATGGTGAGAGGGGGCGAGTGAGAGAGGGAGGGGGAGAGAGAGGAGAGAGTGATAAAGAGAAAGTGAGAAAAACTGAGAAACGGATGGTGTGAGTTTTATTCATTCACAAATGTGTATCCTTCTGTAGCCATAACAATGATAGTTTACTCACCTCCATATTAATACATAATTTAATAGTTTTCATTGATGGGTGAATGTATTTTGTTTGCTTTACATTTCTTAACGTTCGTATATACGTTAAATATGAACGTATATTATTTGTGCTTGTGTGTTTGTTTATCTTATGATATGAGGTTTATGTAATTTTAGGATTTTTTGTTTTATTCACGACGCTTGTAAAACAGTGGACACGCCGATATCATGTTTGGGGTTACACTGGAGGCAACACTGATTACAGGAAGAGGGGTTGAATGAATGCGTTTTATGAATGTAAAATAAAATCTATGAAACCTGATTTTGTTTAAACGAAAAACATCACATTTGTTGATAAACTATTATATGCAATTATTGTTTATTTTAATAATGACTAATAAATTTCGTTTAGGACAAAATCTCTAGTTATTTACGTGTTTTGTCCATTTATTACTCATTATTATTTTTTTCTTTATTATTATTAATATTAATTAACCAATTTACAGTTATTTTTAAGACAGTATATTATATGAAAAATATACTTTCCAAAAATGTTGATTTCGTGAATCTTTTCCAGACGCCACCAGGGGGTTCTGGAAAAGATTTGAGTTTGCATTGATTTAGGAAGTGCAGTAAACCAAAATGTGGTTTTAAAATTTAAACATTTTACTTATGCCAGTTGTGTTATCCTATACGTTAAAACTTAGTAAAATTATTTCCAACATGCTAGTCATGTTCCGACATATAGGATTCTTTGAAATTTTCCCGAATACCTTAAATATATGAGTTATATGGTTATATAGTTATATTAGTTATTGGTGTAGTCACCAACATTAATAATTATGATGAATAGAATGACTTACGATATATGATGTTATTATGTAGAAATAAGAAACAGGCAAACAAACAGTACTAGAATATTGATCATAAATGACCGAAGAGAGAACACTCTGCTGGCAACTACGACAAAAGTTTCGTTACCTGTTTAGCGAAGTCGGGTGGCGGTCAATAAACTCGATAGACTCCTCGACCAAGTTCATACAATATACAAAATATCATACAATCAATAACGAAATAAAAATAACAAAGAGTGTGATCTATTTGAACGGATTTAACAAAGTCATTTTGTGAAAATCTAATTCAAGAAAACACGTTAAGTAGATGATAGTAGTGGCAAATTGACGATGATGTGGTGAATAAAAAATATATAACAAACGTACGCAAATTATATTTAAATTAAAATGACATAGGAATCTCATGTATATAAATTTTTTAGAAATTAATTTACAAATTTATCTTGTTGTATCTTCTTTAGATCCTTTTGTCATAGTACCTCGTCTCGGGGTTCCTATAGTAATCATAATAATTGTACCTGTCAATAAAACAACAAAATTCTTTGTTAAACAAAATGGAAAACTGGGAACAAACTGTGCGAATGGTAAAGAAAAAACTTGGTGCATTCTGTGCAGAGTTTGCTCTGAGTTACCAATTGTTTGAATTTAGTTGAGACATTACCTGTTGAAACGATCGTACCCAACCCTGTTGTACGTGTCGTACCTGTTGTACCTACAATTTTCTTTTTAATTTCCAAAGTCTTTTGATCTCAATTATTATCAAATTACCTGTCTCCTCTATAGTATGAATCGTAGTATGGGTCATATCTTCCTTTGTAGTTATCGTATCCTCCCCTGTAGCCGGTGGGCCCGCCGCTGTAGTACCCGTCCGGCCTGTAGCCGTACCCGTTGTACCCTCTGTCGTAATAACCCCTGTCTACTCCTCTGTCGTACCCGTAGCCCCGGTCATACCCGCTGGAAGGATACCTGTCGTATCCGTAACCTCTGTTGCATCTTCAAACGTTTAGTATCAGTTTTGCAGATATTAGTTCTACTTCTGGAAATAATGTCAAATTTACCTGTCATAACCTCCGGGGTAGTTGTTACTGTAGTATCCACCACCGTTGTACCCAGTACTTCCGGTGTAGCCTCCTCCGCCACCACTATATCCACTACCTCCGTAGTATCCTCCATACCCGCTGTATCCACCATATCCTCCACTGTACGGATATCTATCATAGGTGCTCGTGTAATCTGAAAAGTGAATTGATTAAAAAATGTAAAGCAAGGGTAATTTTTATTAGGATTAGGGTGGACAGAGAGCTTCGTGTGGAACTTTTGGAAACGGGATTTGATCAGTTCATTGTAGATAGTGAGGAGGGTGAAGTAATAAGAAGCTTTGACAATTTGTCTGAGGACTGATTGGAAAGGTTGGATGCCCTGGATATTTGATGACAGTGCCCGACAGTTCCACTCCGACTGTACAAATTGGTCGCAGTAATATCTTCTTTGGTGTTAGCTGAGTTTTCACGGTCAAAACACATTTCCGTACTAATAGTAGTTGCCTATTTGTTCAATTAAGTAATCTCTTTAGTTTTGGATGGGGATTCCATGTCAGTGTGCAATCTAGGTTCTAAGTATCTAACTTGATTTTAGTTCTTTGTTGTTGAGGTGCAATGGAGTGCAATGTAAACAACAGGGCCACATTTTTCTTCATTCAATCTTTGATAAACGTAAGATGTCTTTGGATGTTGGAGACTGCTTGTATAAGATTCGGTTAGAAGATAAAATGGCGGTATCATCCGCTTAGGTTTTAATGAAGGCGTTGGGACATAAAGGAAAGTCAGGAGAGTAGATGGTACACAGGATAGGTCCATGAATGCACCCTTGTGGCACGGCGACTGGCGGATTTTTGAGTGCATCGCATTTAAGACCCTATCAAAAGCCTGGGCCACGTCCAGGAACGTGTCCTACCAATACTCTTTGGCGGAGAGTCAAGAGGAACGTTTTTCCTCTTTTAGTCTTGTTTGTTTATCGCATCAGTGTCTGACAAAAATGTGCTTGGATAGGATTCGGATTAGAAGAAAAAATTGCGGTCATCCACATAGTGGTTATAATAGAGCTGGGATTGAAAAGACAAAATGGTATACAGGATGGGGCCCAGAATGCTCCCTTGTGGAACACCGGCTTGAACTGGCTTTGCTAAATTTTTTATTGTTTTATTACTACCTTTATTAATAAAACATACATCTCGTAATTTGAGGATATTTACATATTTACATTTATAAACTATAAATCATGTCTTGAGGGGACTCGCCAACCATTGTGGGTCTCCTATTTGCTAAATTAAAACAAATTTTCAAACATTTACCTTAAAGCTAATTTAATTACCAGATAGCCGGAAATTGGTAGAGTAAATAATTCTGAAAATTATAATTTAAAAGGCTAATAAATTTCATCAATATACTTATTGGAATAACATTAATATGATAAATTTAAGATAAACGGGTAGATTTATTGGCTACACTAGATAAGATGCAGGTTTTGTTGTTTGTTCACTGTTAATTTAATTCGAAAGGGATTCCTAGAAATTCGGCCATGAAACTGGGTGGTTTCTTCCCTAATTTTTAATAAAATTATATTTGACTAAGCAGATTTATAATGTAATTATAACAATAATGAGAACGTGGTGGTTGATAAAGTCTTAATATCTTTTATTTGGTACTTAGAGGTCCTAGGTTCGAATCCTATCTTCGCTGGAATTTTCTATAAATAACTTTACTGGATCATTTTCCCTACGTTTAAGCATATTTCCAAGCATTTATATTTGTATTAGCAGGTAGCATAAAATGGTTAGAGTAAAATTTTCTAAAAGTGTATAATTTAAAAGGCTAATAACATTTTTCAACATTTCGTCAATATAAATTGAACATATTGGAAGAAAATTGATGGGCACTGTATAGAATAACATGATGGACTTTATATTGTGTTTGATCTAATTTAATGTAAATTTAATTCAAAGGGGATTCAAGTAAAGCTCGGCCAAGGAACTAAACGGTTTCGTCCTGATTTTTAATATACACTATTGGATTAAGTAGATTAGATAGGGCGTTAAGGTCGTCAAATAGCAGATAATCAGTTAATTTTAGAATTAATTAAGGTTTTCAGTTGAGATAAAAAAGTCAATGGCACGAGCGGGATTCGAACCCACGATCTTCCGCTTAATACGCCGCTGCTCTACCACTTGAGCTATCGTGACTCGGACACCAACCTCCCATCTCAACCACACCTTTCGAATTTTCCCTCCTTTTTGCCATTTTTCAATGGTCAATTGGACCACGAAACTAGTGAAGTTAATTTTAGATTGTGATTTTTTTTTTTAGAATCTTACGATTTTTCATTAAGGCAATCTGAAATAAATTAAGAAAGCGAACTCCAAATAGTATTTTGAGACAGACACACCCTGAAAATCTAATTTATCTTTAAAATAAAGACAATCATACACATAGGAAAAATTCTGGAGGAAAAAATACTGACTATAACAGCAAGTTTTGCTTTTTCCATATTGTTCGTACAAAGAATCCCTAGCTATTCAATTTGTTTTTTTAAATCGTTCCTACGGGAAGTGAATAGCAAAAGGTGAACGTTTTCCGCGCTCGTTATGAATAATTGCGTAGCTAGTTTCGTTGGACAATGATTAAAAACGGAAGCGGTAGGGAAGTGGAATGGACGGGAAAGGCGGATGACTGTCGTCCATCCAGTTTTATCAAACATGTTCAAAAAAATCCAAGTTGAATGAAATAATTTTTGGCCAAATCCGCCATCGTGTCATTGAATTTACAGTCGAATTAAAAATATTCTATTCGAAACGTAAAAACAATATAAAATCGGATGATTCATTTTTATACAAAGATTTTCAGTTAGGTTATGACGAATTAATGAATTACAAGGTCACATGGCTGGTTTGCTTGTATGTGCATTTCTATTTGTACATGTATGCAATGTATCCAACGAATGTATGAACGAATTTTAGTGTGTTTTTCTCTACGAGTATGTTTAAGTACTTTCGCTGTCTTGTATTTATATGTGCGACTTTTATGCCTGTGTTTTGTGACTTTTTGGTGTTTGTGTATTTGCGTGTGTCTGTTTAAAAATGCATGACATTATTATGTCATCTATGACAGTTCCAACAGATTATCACATTTTCTTTACTTCTCTGTCCTGCCTGTTCTTCAGATTCGGATTTCTATATATAGACTTTATCCCTCTGCACGTGGTTTTTTTAACATAAATTTTCCCCCACAAATTATTATGGAATTTCTCATAACTCTTTGTATATAAAAATGATTAGTTGTTGTAAATACTAGGAAACCATAGTGAAACATCACTTTCTCTTAATTCTAAAATTATTGTATATCTTTCAATTAATTAACCATTTTATGTAAGGTTTTGGTTGAAATGAAAAAGTTAGTGTCACGAGCGGGATTCGAACTCACGACCTTCGGCCCAATAAGCCGCTGCTATAACCACTTGACCAAGGTTAGAGTAGCGGCGCATTGAGCCGTCGTGAGTTCGAATCCCGCTCGTGATACTAACTTTTTCTTTTCAACCAAAACCTTACATAAAAAGATTAATAATTGAAATAAATAATTTGCTCAATGAGACCACTAAATACTATTACTAGAGTATTGTATATTATATTGCACAAGTACAAATAAAAATTTATTCTATTCTGTTCTTCAGATTAATTAATTTGTTAATTAATTAGTTATTAATGTTTGATCAGTTTACGGATAATCTGACATAAATGAACTTAAACGAAAATCATCACCCATGGGCATCCCGATGACAGGGATTTTCCGTAAGCAGTGGATTCGAGAAGGCGCAATTAAGTTCAACTGGCATATGAGTCGTTGGGAAATTAAAAAAGTCATTTAAGTAGTTACTTAATCTTTCCGGACATTTCTTCGTATACATGTTAAAACACTTAAAAGTGATTAGCAAAATAGCAGATGAGATCTTGCATAAAAAATTCAAACCGTGTGAACCAAAGGGTCGACAATAGGATGATATCAACAGTTACAAGGTGATTCGCAGGCCTATTTCAACGTTATCTTTTCCTATCCAACTTCCTTAGTTGAAAATCTTTGAAAATAAAGTAAATTTTTTTACACAAACTTACACCTGTTTGTTGAGTCGGTCTTAAGGTCTTCACCAGCAGGCTTCCCCTTGGGGCCTTCTTCGGCGAAGGCGGCAGCGAAGAGCAACGCAAAAGCGAAAATCTGTGGGAAAAAAAAATCCAAACGGAATTATGAAAATTAATTGGGACGAATGACCCCAGGTAATTGACATACAACGCGAAGCGCGGAAAGAGCGAAGGACGCGGTAGAAAAATTAAAGACCTATCACTGTCGGTGATCTGGACAAAACGAGCAACGACCTCGTTTTTCGACGATAATATCTCGTTGGGACTTGATTTACGGTTATTATAATTTGCCGGATTTTCTCGTCAATTCAAATTGAAAACATATCGGTTCGAGTGGGGCCTATAATTTAAAAAAATGAGAAATATTGAGGATCTCATCCTGAACCTGAAAATCTATGTTCTATTTCTATATAGGATCTGACTATTCTTACCATCAAAATTAAAATTGTATTTTGATCAATATTCATCAGAATGCCTGTATAACACTAAATCCATCCCTAATCATAAAAAAGAAAGTTTTTCTTTTTAAATTGCTTTATAAGGAATTACCTTCGTAAAAAGTTACGGGTTCCTGAATTAATCTTTGTTGTTTTTTTCACTTGTTAAAATATCCCAAAGGATAATCGTTCTGTTCTTCTCTGAAGAACAGGATCATCATAAAACGTGTGAAAAAACATGATTTTCATTATTGACTTTATTGACAGAAAAACTGCCTATGATTAAGACGACTTATTACAATTAATCACCAGTTTAAAAAAAATTTAAATTGCTTATTGGTTTTGGGAAATTTGCTGAATAAAATATTAGAAAACCATTTGAAATTGAATCGGGCAATACAGAACATTATTATATATACGTATGATGGGATTAACTAAATAAAGAATAACATAATTTTATGTTGATAAAGTAGGATAACATGATTTTCATTACTGACTTTATTGACTGAAAACTGCCTACGATTAAGACAACTTACAATTAAACACAACTTTAAAAAAATTAAATTGCTTATTGATTTTTGGGAAATTTGCTGTATAAAACATTAGAAAACCATTTGAATTTGAATCGGGCGATAGAGAACATTATTACGTATAATGGGTTTAACTATACAAAGAAAAACATACTTTTATAGTAAGTTTATGGTATAATAAAGTAGGTTAAAAAATATTACACATTCATTTTATCCACCAGTTAAAACCCTTAAATATGAATTTTTATAGAAACAAATAAATGAATGAATAAAAATAATTAAATGTACAAAGAGTCCTGGGTGATTTTGGGGTTGTACCCTGGGGCAAGATTTTTCTAAATGTTTTGTTTTCCATGTTCCAGATAATTCATAATTCCTATGGGTTTTATCAAAATTCAACTTTATTACAACCGTTAAAAAGTTCAATTCCTCGTCTTTCAGGGTTTTACAGCAATACGTAGATTTTACGTAATTATAAGTTTGAAAAATAAAGATGAAATCAATTTCTGGAAAGGTTTATTTTATATCTCCAATTCTCATTTATTTACTGAAGCTAAAATTATACCATTACGTGTAGTTTGGAGGTCGTACAATCCTGTAAAGTTTCCTGCAGACCAGTGAAGTGTATCAAACACCATTTTTGTGATTCTCAGAAAAATCTGAGACATTTGGAATGTGAAAAATTTGAGAGAATAAATTTATTTGTTGATTCCTCTCTCTCACTCTCTCTCTCTCTCTCTCTCTCTCTCTCTCTCTCTCTCTCTCTCTCAAAATATATATATGAATATATTTAAGCATATTTAACGGTGTAAAAAACTACTACCAACGCTAAAAAATATATTTTTTTCACGTACTTTTTCCATCGCTGGGTTGATTTGCATTGACTATTTTCGTGTTTTGCCAAATATTGGGTTGTCCGGAAAATAATGCAGGATTTTGGTATTAAACAAAAAAAAAGAAACTAGTTACTTTAAAGCAATGTTCTTTAATCAAAATAATTTCCCATACTCTCAATACATTTCTCCCAACGTGTTGGTAACTTATTAATTCCGTCTGAGTAGAATTCAGAATTTTTAGAATTGATAAAGTCAATAAATGCATTTTCCAGTTCCGTTTGATTTTTGAATATTATGTGTTGTAAGTAGTGGTCCAGGTGTCTAAAAAAATGGTAGTCAGTAGGCGAGAGGTCCGGAGAGTAGGGTGGGTGAGGCAAAGTTTCATAGCCAAGCTCCAATAATTTTTGTGACGTTACACGTGACACATGTGGTCGAGCGTTGTCATGCAACAAAATGGGCCCTTTCCGATTGACCAAAGAGGGCTTCATTACTGCCAATTTCTGATGCATGGTATTAATTTGGTTACAGTATGATTCAGTATTGATGGTTTCGCCAGGATTTAAGAAGCTGTAGTGTATTAAACCAAATGAAGCCCACCATACCGTAACCATTACCTTTTTTTGATGAGTTGGGGGCTTTGGAAAATGTATTGGAGCTTCTCCTTTGTCGAGCCACTGTCCAGAACGTCTAGTGTTATCGTAGAGAATCCACTTTTCGTCACATGTAACAATTCTGGCCAGAAATGGGTCATTTTTGTTTCGACAAAGAAGTGATGCACAAACATCAAAGCGCTGATTTTTTTGGCGATCGTTTAATGAGTGTGGAACCCAATTTTCGAGTTTTTTCACTTTTCCAATCGCCTTGAGGTGGTCAGCGACGGTCGTTTTACTGACTTTGAGTTGCTCTGCAAGTTCTCGAACAGTTGTTTTGGGGTTTTCTTCCTCTACTGATCGCAGAACATCATCATTAAGAGAGGAAGGCCTTCCACGACCTTCTTCATCTTCAAGGCTGAAATCTCCCTCCCGAAATTTTTTAAACCACCTTTGCACAGTGCACTCATTAACACAACCCTCGCCCCAGACTTGGTTAATGTTTCTAGCCGTTTGGGCTCCGCTTCGGCCGAGTTTAAACTCGTAAAAGAAAATCGTACGAAATTCTCGCTTTGACATTATAAGGATGACTGAATTATTTCCAAGTAGCGGAATGCTACAGAGGTAAACAAACAATATCATTTGGAAGAGGATTAATAAGTGTTGACATTCATACAAATGAGTAATCCTGTAAACGTAAACAGAATATTTTATATAGATTTTTTTTAATGAAAACTTAAAATCCTGCATTATTTTCCGGACAACCCAATACATGTGCCAATTTTTTTTTAGTTAGGAACAAAGTCAAAATTCGTTTTCTGCACCAGATACTTGAACTTGAATTTTGAATGAATTTGAATACTTGAACACAATTTTTTGGTAAATTGTTCTTAAAATTAATGTTTCCATTGCTTTAGTTACAAATGAGTACGATTTTTTGTAGAAAGCCACAAAATGGCCATAACTTCAAATCCACCCACAAGAATCATAGAAAATTAGAATTGGAGATATAAAATAAAAAGTTTGATTTTTGGGTTTTTGTTGATTTTATCCTTATTTGGCTCACTTATAATGACAAAATCTAGTAGCCGAAAAGGGCGTGGAAACAACAATTACTCAGCGAGACTTGGCGGACGGTCGAAACGCGTTCTCTATTTCAAATATTCAAAGATTTATGACGCATTCATGGAGTTATTAAATAAGAACAACATAAAATGGATTTTTTGTTAAAAATCTGCCTTGGGTTTAAATATATTTTCTATACGTTGCTTGGTCACAATATAATTATGGTTTTATTTCAATAGATAAGAATTTGTTCGCCTGTACTTGTTTGTATTTTTTTGCAAAGAATGTTAAAACATTTTTTTTAGCAAGAAACAAAATTGACATGCGTTTAAAACAAATCGGTTCTGTTTCTGATGGATGGATTACTCAGCGAGACTTGGCGGACGAAACGGGTTCACCATTTCAGATATTTAGAGATTTATGACGCATTCATGGATTTATTAAATAAAGACAATATAAAATGGATTTTATGTTAAAAATCTTCTTTAAATAAATCGGTTCTGTTTCTAATGGTTGGATTCAGGGTCCTAATGGTACGCGGGTTACCTGTACCTGTCCGTCAGTAGCTTAAAGCTGAGTGTAGCTTGGACCAGACGATATTAGCCGAAACTAACGAAAGGTGTCGAATACAAGTGAGTGTCTCGAAGTCTGAAGTTGGTGCAGTAACCTGATCAGACATGACAAATGTTTCTGGAGCGGAAGGAAGGGTCATTTGACGATTTCAAGTTTTAAGAAAGGGAAAGCTTCTCCAGAAGGTTCAAGGTTGAAGAATGTTGCTTTTTTTGTGGCTCTATAGGGCTTATTGCTTCATGATGCCCAAATAACGCTAATGAGGATTCAATAAATGAGTAAATGGGGTCACCTTGTGTTTGTGCGGCTGGATCTCCATCGTGGGTAGCGCAACTACCGACAATCACAGTTAGAGTGTTTATGTGTTAATGCCTTGTTAGATACAGGTTGTTCCAGATCAATTGTTTTCAAGCATGCCCAGGTTGTGCACAAAGAACACAAAGGGTGAACATGATGTCTGCGATGCTTCTTACAACACACAAGTCAGGATTCGTGGCGTATGTACTGCTTTTGACTGTTCAGTTGCTGCCGAAGTAGAAGATCCTGTTAGGACGTAGAAGACCAATGATGGGAGTTCATATTAGTTCATAAAAATGGTGGGTGAGGTGGAATTGGCAGGAAGGAAAAACCTGTGTTGAAGAGAAATGTGGTTCAATACAGCTTTTCATTCGAAGGTCAGACTGCCTCCGATCGTGAAGTAGAAGAATGGATAGAACTTGGATGGCTTCAGCCTTTTGAATTAGAACATGAAGGTTCTAATGGCAATTATTCACCCAAACAAGGACAAAGTCAAGCCAGTGACTGTAGAGAATTGAACCAGTATCTCCAGACGTATAAATGAGAGTGATATTTGTCGTGAAAAGTTAAGAAGTGGAGGCGCATGGGAGAAAATGTACGATGTATAGATCTACGCAAATTTTACCTTCAAATCTATAGGTGTGAAAACTGTGAAAATTTCAGGTTGTAAAATTTAAACAGAAAGCATATATTTTTGGCAAGGCTTGGATTTGGTTTAAAGGTTCCCTAAAAATTATGTCAGCTATCGTGAATAAAGTGATGTCAGTAGATAAAATAGAGCTGGTAACAATTACATGGATGATACCGTAAAAGGGCCAATTGTGTCATATGACCGTATATGATGTTGGGTCAATATGGATTGAGCTCAAAGCTGGGGAGTCTCATTTGTATTAGAATTTTCTGGCTTGGAATTTCTCAGCAAGCGAAAAGATATTGGACAAGAAACAATAAGTTTATGTTGGAATTCGTCCTCAACTATTTGCCCACAGAACAGTTGGCAATACCACTATCGGATGTACGTTCACCAGACACATTGATGTTGATATTATGCTCTATATCTTATACTGTCTGAAAAGTATTATTCATTATTATCGTCTTTACTTTATTATAAATGTTTTCTTCTTAAAATGTTTTTCGTTAATTAAAACCCAAAGAAGATTTTTAACATAAAATCCATTTTATATTGTCTTTATTTAATAAATCCATGAATGCGTCATAAATCTCTAAATATCTGAAATGGTGAACCCGTTTCGTCCGCCAAGTCTCGCTGAGTAATCCATCCATCAGAAACAGAACCGATTTGTTTAAAACGCATATCAATTTAGTTTCTTGCTAAAAAAATATTTTAACCTTCTTTGCAAAAATACAAACAAGTACAAGGGAACAAATTCTTATCTATTGAAATAAAATATATAATTATTTTGTGAACAAGAAATGTAAAAAGTAGTTAGAAAATATATTAAAACCCAAAGCAAATTTTTAACATAAAATCCATTTTATGTTGTTCTTATTTAATAACTCCATGAATGCGTCATAAATCTTTGAATATTTGAAATAGAGAACGCGTTTCGACCGTCCGCCAAGTCTCGCTGAGTAATCCATCCATCAGAAACAGAACCGATTTGTTTTAAACGCATGTCAATTTAGTTTCTTGCTAGAAAAATATTTTAACCTTCTTTGCAAAAATACAAACAAATACAAGGGAACAAATTCTTATCTATTGAAATAAAATATATAATTATTTTGTGAACAAGAAATATAAAAAGTAGTTAGAAAATATATTTAAACCCAAACCAGATTTTAAACATAAAATCCATTTTATGTTGTTCTTATTTAATAACTCCATGAATGCGTCATAAATCTTTGAATATTTTAAATGGAGAACGCGTCCGCCAAGTCTCGCTGAGTAATTGTTTCTATCCCCTTTTCGGCTACAAGATTTTATGTCATTATAAATGAGACAAATGACAAAAACTCAAGAGTCAAACGTCAACGTTTTATTTTATATCTACAATTCTAATTTTATATGTTTCCGGTAGATCGGTGGAGTGGTTTGAAGTTATGGCCATTTGGAATTGAAGAAATGGAAACATTAATCTAAGAAAAATATATTTTTTTTTTTTCAAAAAATTGTATTCAAGGATTTTTAGTGGTTTGTGGTTTTATTCGGATGTTTTGATGATGCTGATCTTCAGGGAAGGTCAGAACGATTACTTTTTAGGATATTTCAACAAAATTCCCAACAACCAAGATTTCCTCCTTTTTTGGGGGGAAATTATTTACAAAGATTAATTTGCGAACCCGTAAATTTGTCTTAATTCAGTTCTTTCATAAAGCAATTTAAAAGGAAAATTTTTCTCTTTTCATGGAGAAAGAATGAAATTTGTCACATTTAGTGTTACACAGACATTGTGATGAATTTTTCATTTCATGAAATTTTTCATCTGAACCAAGACCTTTCACAAAAAGAATAATTAATTGAAATGAGTAATTTGGCCAATTAGACCACTAAACAAAATTGGATTCTGATGAATATTGATCTTAGGGAATTTTTCTTTATTTTAACCTTATCTTTCTTACTTATAATAATATAAAAACGTGAAGAGTGTTTTATATTAACTCAAAGAAAAAAAATACAGCTTTCCAACGGTTTTAAAACATAGAAATTGGGTAAAATCAAGAGATGTTATGAATTTTTAACTAGAAAAGCGAACATTTGCGAGAAAAAAATTACCCCCCAACGAATAAACACCAAAAATTGTGTATTTTTTGCGGTAAAAATTCATATTTAAAAGCATTATAAAGTGCTTAAAACTCGGTATTTTTCAAAATTTATTTTTTTGGTCTACTTTACGAAGTTTTCATTCGTTTTTATGACTTTCTATGTATGTAATCTCCTTTAATACAATCCTGTATATAATTTTCTTAACCTAGATAAAATAATAATCTCGAAATGCATGCATAACAAAGACAGAAAACAGTAGTTTAAAAAATTCTATAAATTATTCTGGACTCCTGGGACACATTGGCATGTACGCATATTCGTCTAATATTTTTGACCTAGATATCCAAAAATTTATTGAAATTGGTGAGGAAAATGCTTGATACAATATCAAAGTTTAAAAAATATCGATTAGTTCATCAAGGTTCCAACTACGAGTTTAAAATGACAGCTGTATAATTGAAAAATAGATTAATATGACATTGTTGTTTTTTTCTTTAAAGACAGATGGGAAACTTTCTAATTTTAAATTTAATTATTTTTATTTCATAAGATTTTAACATATAACATTTTGATGAATTTTTTTTCTGATATTCACATTTAATACACGTTTACAGTGAAGATAAATCAAGTTAACTCTGTAAAATAAATAAAAATATATAAAATGACGTTTTTTGTTTATGACTACAAATGAATTTAAAAGAAAGATGTGCTCTCTGAACTGTCATTGTCTATCCTCCAGTTCTGCAAGTTGTGTAAGTCGGTTATTTTGCATTTCGCAAGTCCACTGATTTGAAAATTTTTATGGGTCCTCGAGGACGAAATTGCCCACACGTTTCAACATCTCGCATGCGACTTACCTTTGTTCCTCTCATGTTTGCGATAGTTGACATACTGCTAATGAGCCGGTGGCCGGCTTACGTTTAAATACTCGGGCCCGCCTCCCTCTCCTCGCCGTCCCTTATCCTCCGAATTTACCATTAAAAGGTCTTCCAGTGGAACTTGAGGGCCAGGGGTGTTCTCGATTTTTCTCAAGCACGTGGGACGATCTGGGAAGGAGGTCACGTCCGAAAGGAAAGAGACGTAATAGAAGAATTTTGTTTTCCATCTGAGCCGAGTGTGTTCATGATTGAAATGGAAATGGAAATAATGAATTGGCATATCAAACCGACGATAAACAGAGATCATCCCAGGTCTGCGTAATTTTTGAGTCGATGCGAGTAGTTGCATTCGTAATTTGTAAACAGGAGGAAAAACACCTGAGCCACTTCGATAATGATTGACTATTGATATGCCAAGAATTATCCCAAAAAAGTTTTCACTATTTGATGCATATTTTGCGAATGATTGTAGATACTTTGTTAAAATAGTTCCGGAATTGTCTATTACAAATCTTCTTGTCAGAAACACAATCTTCGCTTAATATCTGCGTGGTATTTATTCTTAATGAATCCAGGAATTATAGAGAAAACATCATAAAATAATATAAATTACTCTCTTGGCTGTTATTACAAAAATAAGATAACGAAAGAAAACTCCAAGAGCCGGAAAGGGAATCGAACCTAGGATCAAACTGGCCAAATGCCAGATTAAATTACCCATTAAAAAATAAAATATAAATGTGATAATGTTAATAATTAATTGGCAGTACGTTATTTCACACTTTATTTATCTAGTTTTTCTGTTTTTCTCGCTTCTTCTGTGAATTACCACAGTGTATTGTGTGACAGACAGATATGTTTATAAAGGAAATAGCAAAAATAAACGGACCGGAAAGAAATTTTGGCAGACAACTCCAAAATGACGTTATAAAAGTAAAGAAACGATAAATATTTTTTTTATTTGTGTACCACTCATTGAGAGGAATTTTGAAATACTCTCGCTCACTCTTTCTCTCCCCTTCTCATTCACACATTCATATTCATTCATTCTTTATATTTCTCTCTCTCTCTCTCTCTCTCTCTCTCTCTCTCTCTCTCTCTCTCTCTTTCTCTCTCTTTTTCTCTCTTTTTCACTTCATATATTAACCACTCGTTCATTCACAATCATTCTTTTTATTTATCCATTTCTCTCTTTCTTCATCTCTCTTTCTCTCTTTCATTCTTTCTTTCTCTTTCTCTCTCCCTCCTTTTCTCTATATCTCTTCCACTCTCATTTACTCTTTCTCTTTCTCTGTTTGCCTCGTTGTCTTCACAATTGTTTTCATTGTATATGAATCTCTCTGTCTCTCTCTCTCCCCCTCTCCCCCTATCTATCTATCTATCTTTCTTTCTCTCTTTCTCTGTCCCCAAACACCACACACAAAAATTCTTTCACCATCTCGTACTCTACAGCTTTTTGTCTTTATTTTCTCTCTCTCACCATCTCTCTTCTATCCATTTATTTATCTCATTCTTTCTCCTTCGTTCCTTCTTTCTCTCTCTCTATACATCTACCTTTATCTCCAATCCATCTATTTATATTATACTCCCTCCTTCGTTCACTCTCTTTCTCCCCCCTCTCTCACCATCTCTTCTACCTATCTATTTATTTCATTCTCTCTCCTTCGTTCTCTGTATCTTTCTCTCTTTTGTCCATCTATCTATCTCACTCGCTCTTGCTCTCTTTCGTTTTTCTCTTTCCCGCTCGCTCTCTCGTTTTCTATTTTATTTGTCTATGTACGTATTCTTTCTCCTTCTTTCTCTCCACACACTCTCACTCCCTCTCTTTCTTCTTAACTTTTTGCTCTCTTTCTCTCTCTCTTTCTCATTCATACATTCTTGTTCATTCTCCCTATTTCTCTCTCACTCTCTCTCTCTTCACGCTCTATTTCTCCATCTCTCTTTCTATCCCTGTGTCCCACTCGCACTTTTCTCTCTCACTCACACTTTCACTCTCGCCCTTCTTACTCATTCCTACTCACTAACTCACTCCCCCTCTATTTTTTCTCATTCCCAATATTTTCCCCTCACACTCACACTCAGTCTTCATATTTGTAATATTATGTACATATGTCACATCACACATACACATTCCATTCTCTAACTTACTCACGCACGCCCATATTTGACCAAGAATTCATTGAGAAGAGTTCCGCCTGAATTTACTAATTATTTCGCGCACACTTCGACCCACTCATGCACGCATAATTTAATTGTACTGTCTAGTCAAAACAGACAAAGTAAGTAATAATTTTAAGTAAAATAATTTTATAAGAAGCGGTTAATTTCCATTATTCACCTGTTTATTCAAAGGGAAATGAAAGTTGTCATAGTAGTTTAATTAGTGGAATTTAACAGTACACTAGAAAACCCTAATTGATAAAATTGGATTTATATAATAGTCTGTATTGCCAATGTGCAGTATGATTATAATAATTTTTGTATTGTGGATAAACACGTTAACTACTTTACTATCCTAAAATTTTGTTATAGTGCGCAAGAGAAACTTTTGACAGGATGAACTAACGTTTTAAAATGCTATTATTTAGATCACGGTCCGAATAAACTGTATTACGTTGATCTTGCAAAAATTATTAAATAGCAAATTCGACAAGCAAGTCCGACACAACCGTATGCAACGCGATTGTTCATTAATAAGGAATTTATGCTGTAATTGCGGAAATTTGTTTCATAACCAAAAAAATCATTGTCTTTTACGGTATGTTTTTATTCAAAAACGCGATTCATTCTAAAAATAAATTTGGCAATCACAGATATTTTGCTTTTTCTTCAAAAAAACAACTTAATCCCTATTGTTAATTATTCGTCCTGTTTGTCTCCTTCTCCGACCAATCCGATTGAACCATTGTCCTTCCTTCAAATCGAAAATGCTTGTTTGAAAAGTGAAACTGTTTGTTGAAGCCAAACTGTCTTATCTTTTGTTTTCCGTCCGACATCGTCAGTGATGAAACAACCGGCCCGACCCTCTATTTGCCCATCCATTTGAATTTACATTTTAAAGGAAATACCTATTTTTTCAGCCTGCGTCGCCAGAAGGCATTGTCGTATTCAGGTTGTAATAGCAATGTCGATACATCGTGAAAATAAATTTTTGCATTTTGGAAAACTAGATTCAAATACCATATTTCAAAGATCAAAACATGTCAATATTTACAAAAGCCCTTTGGCGCACGTTTTACAAAAACTATGCAATTTTAGTTACTCGCAAGGCACCACTTGAGTCGTGGAAAAATATAAAATGTAGAATAATTTTTTTTAAATTCTCAGATTTGCATAAACCCAGTTTTGTTGTAAACGTAAGAATAATATTTTGAATTATTTCTTTCTTCCTCCTGTTTATCCCCTAAACGAGCAAGATTAGACGGGCAAAACTATATTTTTTTTTTTACCAATGAGTAAGGTTTGGTTGACAACACAAAAAAGTAAAGTAAAAAAGAAGCAAAACTGGACAAAGGATTAATCAGAAATCAAGTATATTATTTTAGTATCAGTATTATTTTTACATATATATTTAGTAGTCATTGACCATATTAATTATACTTTTTTACTTTTTTAAGGTACTAAGGTCTTGATTACAATGAAAAAGTTAGTGTCACAAGGATTCGAACCCACGACCTTCGGCTAAGCCCCTAGCTGCGAACCCTCGTAAAAAACTAATTCATTTCTGCGAACTTCAAGCTTCTCCTCAAAACTTTATTAAAGGGAGGAAATACAATATTGAGATATTCCTAATACACCATTGGCCTTCCCATATAAAACATTCTTACTAATAAATACATTCACTCACAGTATTCACAAAAGGGAACACAAAACGATATATATATANATATATCAGTACTAGTTAGAATAAAACAGTACTTTTTCGAACAAAAATCGGAACATGGGGCCCGAAAATTCGCAGTCGTGCTCAAGCACAATTCTCAGATCCAATGACATTCCTAAACGCTCTCTATATAGAGCCAAGAAATGACACTGTGCGTTTAGGTGGGATACATCGAAAATTCTCTACATACTGGACACACTGGCTTTGAACCGGTTTACAGAATCGAACCCATGACTTACAAAATCCGTCCTAAATACCTTCCTATTTACACATCCTTCTCCAATTTCTGGTAGAATGATATCCTTCCAATCACCCTTTACTCATATTACATAACTAACATGTCTGAAGGTTCGGGTACTAAATATTTCACTAATTTTCCCTCTCACATAAAACATTCTCGCTAATAAATACGTTCGCTCTCAATATACACAAAAGGGAACACAAAACAATATATCGATTTCTCCCTACTTACTTAAACACTCAATATTCTACTTTCTACCCTTTCACACACTAATAAATACATTCAGTGTCAAAATACAAAACTATCAGGTAATCTGTACAATAAAACAGTCCAATCTCCAAAAAGTCTCCAAAAATCGCAACAAAGATTCGCCGTCGTGCTATATCACAATTCCCTTGTCAGATGACATTCCAACACGCTCTCTATATAGATCCAAGGAATGGCTCTATTCAAATAAGTGGGACACATCGACATACACATGTTAGACCTACACGCGGGCTTTGGCCTAAAAGTCAAACCTGAAACAATATACCATTTGGGTTCAGAAATGTCAAGCCTGTGCCATAAAATAAACAAATGTGCAATTTATTATTGTTATGTTTATTATTCCCCTTCGTCTCGAATCACCCCTAGTATAGACACCATATAACACATTTTTAAATATTGAACTGTTTATCAATTCATCAATCAATAAATGTAAACAAAGGGTTTCAAATATGTTTTTAAAAGGTTCCAAATTATTGTTCGATTTTTCAAGTGTCGTTCAGTTTTTCTGATCATCTTAAGTGTTTTTCGTCCAAGTGAATAAGGATGGATGTCGATTGAAAACTGTCTACTTTGAAGGCAAAAATCATGGGATTTAATTATATACACTGTTTTGGATCAATTATTTTATAAACATTGACCAAAGACGGTTAGTTTTTGCGAACTGACGCGTACCCATTCACTCTTAAAC